TTTATCTAAAAGAAAATCTAATAATATTAACTAATATCTAATGAACTAACTAATAACAATATTTAACGGTTTAAATTTCAAAAAAAAAATAAAATATACATAAAATATATAAAAAATAATAATACTACTTAAATTTTACTTACCACTGCTTGATCTACTAGATTGCAACAAGAAAAATGTGTTAAGTTGCTTCAAATGGAAGAATGGAGGAAAGGGGAGCAAGAGCAACTCGGGACAAAGAGGAAAATGAAAATGAAAGGAGAAAGACCAAAATGAAAGCAGAAGGGCGAATCAGCAGGGCATAGGGAAGCTTACCGACGAAACCCACATTGCTACAGTCTAAAGCTGCTCATCTCTGCGTTGCATCAGGATTCCCGTTGACTGGACAATCACTGACGAGCATCAAGTTGGAATTGCACATATTACCGACCTATATCTATTCGGTAAACAAAGTAAAAGCTGCACCGCCGGTGGCCACCAGCCGGATTCACGGGGAGTTGCTGAAGGGCAACTTACCGACAAGCACTATGTTGGAAATGTTATCAAAAAGCTGCACCCCTGACGCAGGCAACCAGCTGGTTGGTGGAGGGGGGTGCATTGGGAGTGGAAATTACCGAGGAGATGGATGTTGGAAATTGATCCTCAATTACCGACGAGACTGTCGTTGCAAATTAATTTACAGGCGTACTTCTTGTCGATGATATGCCTTTCCTCCTTCCCCACGCCGGCCGGAGTTTTGGTTACAATTACCGACAAGGAACACGTACGTATTCTGTTAAATTACGGACGAGTCTTACGTCTGTACAATAAATAATATATCTTACTACCATTTCTACTGTTGCTCAAGTTGCAGACGTATATCTTGTCGGTAAATGGATGCTTCACCGAGAAACCTTCTTTCCTTGGTGATATGTGGTCGGTGAAGCTCAGTTTTCTTGTAGTGGCATGTCAAGCTAATTTATGAGCACCATATTTCCATCTCTACGTACATTTTTCACCCTACAGAAAGGAAAACGACTTTCAGCACCTACTTGCACAGTGTTTGAATACTGCTTCCAACTCCGTAAGCCCACGTGCCAATTCTTTTATCAATGCTGATCGAGCGGACTAAAACTCTTACTCGGGGGTCAAAAGTGAACGACCGTTCAAAACGAAGAGCCACAGGGGAGAAGAAGTTAGGTTGGTGGACACCCACGGAGATGTTGTATTTGTTTATTAGAAATGTGAAAAAGATGTGGTGCCTTTATTTACTCCTGCCTACTTGCCCTCCGCAATGGGTTTTTTTTAAACTAATTGTGATGAATGAAGCTCAACGTTTTTTATGTTAGGTTAATTAACGTATATTATTATTATTTTTTTTTTTTGCCTTCGTAATGTATATTAATTTATGTGTTTTATTGAGTACAATATTTAATAATAAAATATTATGATATTTCATAAAATAAAAATAAAAAATTAAGACTTTTCAACATTTAAAATATTAAAATTGTTTATAAAATTATTTAAATATTGTTAATAAATTCATGTCCAAAAAAAAATATTGTTAATAAATTATTTATATTAATTCATTTAAAACATTTAAATTATTATTATTATTTTAATTACCAAAAAAAAATATGAATTCTTCACTAACTTTTAGTATTGAAAAAAGCAATTATTTCACCATTTTAGGGTATATTTCTCCCACTAGGTAAAAACACAAATGATTGGAAGGATATGGAAAAGGTGGGTTAGGTATGCCCCGACCTACCTCAAGATTGTTTTTATCCCCAAAGAATAAACAGAAAAATTTTATGTTAGGACTTTGGACAAAAAAGAAATGATTATTTATTTGTCCAATTATAAAAATAATACGCGTGCTCAGTTTGAAAAAAAAAAATTTAACTTAAAATTTCTTTTAGAATAATAGTTATTTTTTATTTAAAAAAAATAAATATTTTTTAATTTAAACTTTTATTATCTTCTGGTTTTAATTATTCATTGTACTATTAAAAATTCTCGTAATTTTTATTTCATTGTTAAAAGGGTAACATATGAAAAAATATAAACTGTATCCAAATTTTTAATATAAAAATAAAATAAAAATATATCTATTATTTTGAGATAAAAAGAGTAAAAACTTTACCTAACAAGTTAACAACTTATACTCTCCCTCAAAACAACTGTTGCTTGTTCATTTTTTCTCAAATAAAGGATTTTGGAATAATTTATGTTTTTATTTATAATACTCTTAAACATGAATTAAAAGATAAAGAAAAGAGTTATTGTGATAGGATAATTAATTAAAGTAAATAAATAATGCTATTGTTAAAGTAAAAAAATATTTATTTCTTTTAAAAAATAAAAAAATAATTAATTTAAGATAAATTTAAAATAAAAAATAACAATTGTTTTATTAAAACAGCGGAAGAATTACTTCATTTGTCCTAAAACGACTAAAATAGTTATTGTCTTCTAACTTAAAATTTGTCTCAAATCAATTGTTATTTTCATTTTTTAACCTTTTTGTTATACACTAATTACTTTAAGGGTTTGTATAACTTATATCTTTAGGGCACATATTAAGGGTGTAATAAATATACTTTTTTGTAATTCATTTATATTAAAAATTGTAAAAGTTGACATATATTTTAATACCACTAATACGTGAATAATTTTAATTAATTAATTAAATAAATCAAAATCAATGTTTATATTTTTAATAAAAATTAATTATAAAAATATATATTTATTACACAATTATCTTGTACCCAAAGGATATAGATAGAAAATTCCTTACTTTAATTATCAATTGGCATTTTTAATTTTTTAATCTTAGTGAGGATATTAGGCATTAGACCTAGCAATTTTTTACCCAACCCGTTAACCCGCCCGTTACCAACCCGTTTAAAACGGGTTAGAGTCAGATGTTCATGACCCGTGACCCGTTAATAACCCGTTAACAGAACCCGACGGGTAATGGGTCAATAACGGGTTGACCCAACGGATTAACGGGCTTGACTCGTTTACCTATTTGAAAAGTAAATATTTTTTAATTTATTATTTATATATTTTATTTCTTAATTTTCAAATCTCAATCTCACCTAAATCCCTAATAAATAGCTAATTTTACTTAATTGGTTACTTCTCTCGGCTCACCATCTTCAAGAAGCCAAAAAAATCCCAGACTCTTAATGTCCCACCCCACAACTCATCATCTCAGTGATCTCACGACCTTTCCTGTTCTTCCTCTAATATTTTCAAAAACTCTAACTCTTCCAACTCTCCTCAGATTCTCCATGTTTCTGCACTTTTCTTGTCATGTTTCTGCATATTTCTGCATTTTTTAGTATCTTTTTCTGCTCATTTTTTCTGTAATTTCAGTGGTATAAAACTATATTTCTTCCATTTTTCTGCATGTTTCTTCAATTTTTCTGCACTTTTCTTGTCATGTTTTTGCATGTTTCTGCATTTTTTGGTATCTTTTTCTGCTCATTTTTTCT